TTTGAGAGAGAGAATGAGAGACAGAGAGCACGAGAGGGAAGAGGGTCAGAGGGAGAAGCAGACCCCCCGCCGAGCAGGGAGCCCGATGCGGGGCTCGATCCCAGGACCCCGGGACCATGACCCGAACCGAAGGCAGACGCTCAATGACTGAGCCACCCAGGCACCCCGTATCTTGAATTTTTGTGTGAATTTTAGAATTGAGTTGTCAATTTCCGCAAGGATTTGGGGAATTTGGTGGGGACTGGCTTATATCTGCAGATCACTTTGGGGAATATTGCCATCTTAGCGCAATGAAGTCCCCGCCCCACAAACATGGGATGAACTTCCTTTTATTTAGATCTTTAATTTCTTTCAGCAGTGTTTTGTAGCTTTCAGTTTGCAAGTCTCTCACTTCCTTGGTTAAATTCATTTCTAGATATTATCTTTTTTGGTGCTGTTGCAAATGGAGTTGGCCCCTGATTTTCTTCTTGGGTTGTTATAGGTGTCGAGACGCAAAACTGACTTCATGTGTTGACCTTATACCTGCAGCTGGGTTGCATTCACTTATTAGCTCTTGTAATTCTGTAGATGTTTTTGGGTTTTCTAGCTACACAGTCACACCATCTGGAAAGAGAGACCGTTTACTTCTCCCTTTCTGGTTTGGGTGCCTTTTATCTCATTCTGTTGTATGTGCTCTTGTGTTTGTTGAGTGTGTTTGTTTTTATCATGAGAAGTGTTGGATTTTGTCAGGTCCCTTTTCTGCATCTGTGTGGAGATCTTACAGCCTTTACCTGCCACTCATTTAAAAAACCTGCGTAGTCTGAATTTGAAAACACAGTGGCCTCAGGATCCTATCCTGATGATGGAACACGGCCCGAGCTAGAATGCACTTCCTGGTTTTAGAAGGCCGACGGGAGAGAGATTGTGCAGACCGTGAACACAGCTGGTACCAGGTCACGTCTAGTGTGCGTCCAGCCAGCGGCTGCGTGGCTCACCCTGGACTGGTGACCACCCCACCCCCCCCCCCCCCCCCCGCGGCCAGGGCTGCCTGGGTGCTGGGATCCAGCCGCCTCACCGGCATGCCGTGTGCCACGGCTTCCAGCCACTAGGTGTCAGTGAGAGCCGGAGACTGATGGCAGGGGTGAGGGTTGTGAGGGTTGCAGGGGTGTGCGGGCGGGCTTGTGTCCCCGAGACGACAACGAGCCTGGGCGTGCTCTGTGCTGAGCTGCTGGGGAGGTTGCCACATTTTATGGGAAATCACTGGATCGTGAATATACAACAAAAGAAGTTTTCCAGGGGCGCCTGGGTGGCTACGTCAGCTGAGCGCTGGCTTCGGCTCGGGTCACGATCTTGGGGTCCTGGGATCGAGTCCCGCTTTAGGCTCCCTGCTCAGTGGGGGTCTGCTTCTCCTCCCTCTGTCCCTACCCCTGCTTGTGCTCTCTCTGTCTCTCTCAAATAAATAAAATCTTAAAAAAAAAAGTTTTCCAAAATAACTTCTTCAGCGACAGGCGGAGGGAGGTGCCGCAGGACAGGTGGCCGTGGCAACCGGCTCGGACACGCCACGCCAGGGCTGCACTGCTGCCGACTGCTGCCTCTCGTGGTCTGGTTGGGCCCCCAGAGGCCACCCTGTTTTTTCCACACGGCCAAGCGCTCTTTAGACATTTCCCTGCCTGGTCTCCGGTCTTCCAGGAGTGTTGGAGAAGCAGGAGCTGCCCGGACCGTGCATCGCGCACCCGCGAGGACCGTGTGGCTGCAGGGAGGGGGGTGCGGGAGGCTGGGAAGGGCCTTTGCTGGCCCCCAGGGAACAGCAACGTTTGGTGGCAAGCTCTTTGAACATAGGGTGCTCCGTGAAGCTTTTCTTTCCTTGTTCATGAAAAACACTGAGTTCTGCGGGAGTCTGCACTCACCGTGGCATACGGCTCAGATTTTCCGTATGTGTGCACCCACAGCCTGCAGCCCGAGAAGGAGCATTCCCAGGCCTGTCCCCGGGCCTTCCTTCAGCGGGGCACCAGTGCGGCCTGTCCCCGGGTTGCTGGTCATTGCTGGTGTCCTCCGCTGCGTAAACACACATCTGTTGCCCTGTTGGCTGGCGTTCAGACCGTCAGCCTGAGCAAGCTTCTTCAGCACTTGCTGATCCCTCTAGCATTTATGAAATTACAAGCATTTCACATTTTGAATCAATTTTTTCTACACGTGTGGATGCAGTAGCCGCAAAAGAAACTTGTCACAAAAATTCCATGTTTTCTTGCTGTGAGTTTGCTCTCAGCCCCGACAGTGACAGTCCTCCCAGGCTAACGTCCGGCTTCTGGGAAGATTGAGCTGGAACAGGAAGTCGGGAGTGCACAGCAGCTCTGAGTCTGCCACTTGGTTCCAGGCCAGGGAACTGATCCGACATTTTCCCCTCCCACCTGGAGGGGAGAGCAATGCGAACTTTTAACGCTTTTGCCGCATCCAAAGCTCACTCTTGGGAACTTGGGGGCTGCTGCTCCCACCGGGAGAAGAGAAGCCCCGAGCGTCACCTGGGCTGCATGTCTCCCTCCCGTGAGACGGTGTGGCCAGAGCAGCCCAAGGATCCAAGCCCACTGTCTTGGGATTGGATCTTTCATTCCCAGAGCCCCGGGTAACTCACAACAGATGGCGGTTCTGCCGGTCTTTGACACTGCAGACGACTCGATGGCCGTCCAGACACCAACGCTATGTCCTGCTCCACCCCACATCCTTCCTTTTCAGAATAGTGCTCTGGCCACCAGCCGGTGAGTCTGAGTGCTGGGGAATCCCACTCTTACAGCAACCCCGGTCAAGCGTCCCCAAGACCACCCCTAAGTTTAGTGATTCTTGGCGCAGAATCACCCCTCTGTCTTTGTACAGCAAAAAGGTACAGAGCAAAATCAGCTTGCGGAGCCGTGCAGGACATGCTGAACTCCCCTCCCCAGCGATCTGTGGCACCCACGGGGCATGTCGTCCTCAGGACGCTCCCTGGAGACTCGGGGCCCGGGGAGAACAGGGGCTGGGCATGTAGGCGCCCTCTGCCTGGCACACACCTACCCTCTGGACGACCAGAAGGAAAGCAGGTGTTCAGCATACACTCGATGCTTTTTCTGCATCTCTTGAGATGATCATGTGTTTCTGTCTTTTTCCTCTTGATAGGAGTGTATTCCATTAATTGTTGGGTGGTGAGCCATCCTTGCGTCCCTGGGATGCATCCTACCTGATCATGGTGTAGAACCTTTTTTGCATATTGTTGGATTGTTTTACTAGTGCTGTGTGGAGGATTTCTGCTTCTGTGTTTACAGTGGAGACCGGTCTATGGTCTTATTGTGATGTCTTTAGTTTCAGTATCAGGGTAATGCTGGTCTCAGGGTTGGGAAGTGTTCCCTCCTTTTCTGTTTTGTGAACATTTGTGAAGAATTGATGTTCATTCTTCTTTAAACGTTCGGTGGGATTCACCAGTGAAGTCCTTTGGGCCTGCGCTTTTCTTGTGGGAAGTTTTGAAGTTACTGGTTCACGTTCTGTATTTGTTACAGGCCTATTCATTCACATTTTCCATTTTCCCTGGTCAGGGTGGTGGTTCGCATCTTCCCAGGAGCTTGTCCATCTCACCTGGGTCACCTAACTTGTCGGCACAGTTGTCCCGGTTCTCTGGCCTCACCCTTCCTGTACTGGAGAGTTCCCTTTATGCTTCATTGCCGTGGCTGTGGTCCTGGAAGCTTCCCCCTTGTGATGGGTGTCCTCAGGTGCAGAGGAGAGTTTTTATTATTTTTTATTTTTTCAAGGTTTATTTATTTATTTGGGGGGGGGCAGAGGGAGAGAGAATCTCAAGCAGACTCCCCACTGAGCATGGAGCCCGACGTGGGGCTCGATCCCACAACCCCGAGATCACGACCTGAGCTGGAACCAGGAGTTGGAGGCCTAACCGACAGAGCCCCCCAGGCGCCCCAGAGGGGAGTTTTTAGTAGTGGGGTGTGTGTATGAGGAATGTCAAACATTTAGATCAAAGAATATTCCCCTTCAGTGAAGAACAAGACTGCACCCCCCAACCCCAGATCCCCAGAGGCAGCTGCTGGGGAGCTTCTGGTGTGTGTCCCCCACTTGCTCCCCTCCTCTTCTCCACAGAAGCAGCAGCCCAGCGTCTTCTGTCCTCCCTCTGCCCTCAGGCCCCTGGAGTCTTCACTGCTGCAGCTGTTCCCGAGAGGCCCCTGCACGCAGAGCTCACGCCTCTTGACCACTCGGGATAGATGCCCACTTTTCCAGCTGAGCGGCCGCAGCAGCTCTTGGCACTGCTCTGGCCAGTGCAGCAGCATGTCCACTCGCACGTGTGTGCGGGCGGAGCTGGGGCCTGCGTTCCTGGAGGAGGACTGGGGCCGGAGCCCACATGCACTGCTGTCGTCTGCCCCGAGCCGTCCCAGGGCCTCGGGCCGTCCAGCGTCACCAAGGCCTGCGGAGCCGGGAAAGCAGGCCTTGGTTTTGATGCATTTGATTTTCTTTTAAAAGGTGAATAGATGGGGCACCTGGGTGGCTCAGATGGTTGGGCGTTTGCCTTCAGCTCAGGTCATGATCCCAGGGTCCTGGGATCGAGTCCTGCATCGGGCTCCCTGCTCTGCAGGGGTCTGCTTCTCTCTCTCCCTCTGATCTTCCCCCTGCTCATGCTCTCTGTCACTCTCTCAAATAAAATCCTAAAAAAATAATAAATTAAAAAAAATAAAAGGTGAACAGAGGGCAACCCTCTTGGATTCCCTTCCCTTCCGGAACTTTGTACTGTCCCTTCACTGTCATTCAATAAACCTTGCTTTGCTGCCCACCAAAAAAAAAAAAAAAAAGTGGAACAGAGCTGAGCATCTTCTCGGGCATGGAAAGGCTCTTCTGTTCGCTCCTTTTCTCTCTGGCTATGGCCTTTGCCTGTCGCGTTTCAGATGTCCACACTTCCCCTCTCTGCGAAGTCTGAGCCAGAATGACTCTGCCTCCATCCTGCTGTGGGCTCTTCGGTGGTGCAGGCAGGGTCCCTGCCTCCTGGGGCTTTTCCCTCCTCTCTGGGGTGGGCGGGCGGGGGCCAGGTCAGGAAGCGTGGCCCTCCCCTACTTTGCCAGACTGCTGAGAAGAGTGGGGAGCTGCTGGAGAAGCTGGAGGAACAGCTCATGAGACTGAGCATGCAGGCTCCAGACAGGGAGGAGAGCTCAGCTGCCTGGACCCCCAGATCAGTGTCACCTGCTTCATGGGCCCCAGCTTGGCCCCCTGTGCCCCGGTGGTCAGCATAGGTCCTTCCTAGGATGGGCACCCCCTGACCGTCTGATGCCAAGTCCCCTGTCATGTGTCCTCCCTCCTCGAGAGCTCTGGGACATGGAGCCCAGTGTCACAGGGTGACCCTGAGCATCAGGCTGCTTGCATCCACCCAGCCAGGGGGCACTCGGCCTGCTTGCTGGGTGTGAGCATGGCCGGGTCGTCTGTGAGCCCCACATGCTGGCTGCCTGGGCTGTGCTGGGGAAGTTGGCCCCAGCAGGTCCCTCTGCACCCCTGGAGGGGTGGCTGTGCTGTGGGGCAGGAGGAGCACGTCCTGCCTGGCAGCCCTGGTGTCCTGACCTGTGTGCTGGGCTCTCCCGAGAACCCTGGTCTTCTCTGCAGGTTTGAGAGGCGTGGCTGTCTGTGGAGAAGATCCACGAGATGTGCAGGGAGCAGTTTGCGTGGGCTCCTGACTCGGCAAGCGAAGACCTTGAATTCTGAGTGCACGTCTCTGCCTCATTGCAACTTACTTTGTGTTTTTTTCACTATTAAAGCAATATTGGGGATTTTGTGCAATGAACTGCTTGTGCAAGCATTTGTTGCCGTTATACAGAAGGTCGCCGACGGCCGTGGCCCGTCCTTTGAAGCGTGTCCCCTCCACCAGCTGGTGAGTCTTGAGCTGCCTTTCAGGCTTTCTTCAGAGAGATGGGAGGGGGGCTGTGCCACTTGGCTGCCTGCCCAGGAGCTGGGCCGTGCTGTGTTCCCCTCTGTGCCCCCCTGTGGAACCTGCCTAAGGGTGTGCGGGGTGCTGGCACTGGCAGAGGGGGGCCCTAAAGGGGGTGGACTCCAAGCCCTGACTGAGGGAAGGGTCTGATCGTCCCGTGAGAGACCTGTGTGCCACCCCCAGGCCCATGCTCTGTCCCCACTCTGGGTAGGGACCCCTCAGACATGCTGAACAGACAGGACAGCAGGGCTGCCAAGTGCCCGTGGCCAGGCTCTCCCTCCAGGCTCCGTAGCTTGAGGGGGCCATGGGATGGGAGGGGTCTTAAAATTCTCTTGCGAGGGGTCAGATAATTTTTCTTTTTCGTTGACAGGTCTCTGGCTCAAGAGGCCTCTCCTCTACTTCCAGACCTGATGAAAATCAGATGTTGATTAGGCTTTGTGTCTGCTTTGGCAGTTGGTTGAGACTTTGGGAGCCATAAAAGGGGTAAGTGTATTTTGCGTGTGGAAAGACGGTAAATAATTGTGCCCCAGGGTGTGCTGTGGGAAACTAAAACTGGTCACAGACCTCTGCATCTCCTCCCAGGAGACGGAGACTGTCCGCGCATCCTGGGCTGGTCTTTGGCGTCCTGGTGAGGACCCCCTGTCTACTGGAGCCTTCTTACTCCTCTTTCTCAGTTACTCCCTTGTTTTGGGGATCTCCTCTTTGTGTCTCCTGAAGAACATTTCCACAAGAAGTCATGAGACATTTTTGGTGAACTTGCATGTCTGGAAATACCGTTCTACTACTACCATCACGCCTGATGATTTGAATACGCGTCAACTTTTAGGCTGCAAATTATTTTCTCGTGTAACTGTTAGAGCTTCGTTCCACTGTCTTCTATGTGTGACACGGCTGTGAAGAAGTCTCCTCACCCCTGTGTGGTCCGCCACGCGGGCGCTTGCTGGGCCTCCCTGCGGCCAGGGGCACCGCACAGCGTCGTGCAGGCTGTCACTGTGGGGAGCTACAGGCGCTTCCACTGCGGTGACGCGGGTCTGTCAGGCCTGGGGAGCATCAGATGGGGTCTCTGGCCATCCCACTCCCACCATGTTCTGGTTTTTCCCAGAACTCCTGCTGGTCCTAATCTGTCTACCGCCTCACCTGCCTCTTCGCCTTTTCCTTTTTTAAAAAAAAGATTTCCTCGGGGCACCTGGGTGGCTCAGTCGTTAAGCATCTGCCTTCGGCTCAGGTCATGGTCCCAGGGTCCTGGGATCGAGCCCCGCGTCGGGCTCCCTGCTCGGCAGGAAGCCTGCTTCTCCCTCTCTCACTCCCCCTGCTTGTGTTCCTTCTCTCGCTGTCTCTCTCTCTGTCAAATAAATAAAATCTTTAAAAAAAAAAAAAAAGATTTCCTCACTTCACCTCTCAGCCAACTTGCTAATTTGTTTTTAATTGTGGATATCCCATTTAACTTCTAGGGTTTGTTTTGAATTTTTCCTTTTAAAATACTATTTGTTCTTTTTTAACGGACGCAGTTCCTTTTTGATCTCAGGTCACTAATCATCATTTTGTTCACTGGTTCTGCATTTCCTGCACCATCTCTTTTTCCTTTGGTTTGATTTCTCGCTTGCACATCAAAAACATTCCTCAGGCGCCTGGTGATGACTAGCTTCCCACCACGTAGGGGTGACGAAGGCCCGTGGGCACAAGTGAGGCTCACTGGCGCTCGAGCCCTTGAGCGCACTGGCTTTTGAGGGTTTGTAGTGCACGTCAGTTCCTTGTCTTGTCTCAGGGATGGCTCGCTAGCTCCTGGGACGGACCTGAGACTCCTGGTAGCTCGTTAGCGGCCGCCCACGTCCCAGTGCACACTGGCTTCTCATCTCCACGGCTGCCTGCGTGTGACTCCACTCCCTTGGCAGGCTCACGCCTCCACCTACTTCTGTCTTCATTTATATTGTGGTTCTGAGTAACAGACTCCTCTTACCCATGTTAATTTTTTAACTGGAAGTTTCCTCCAGTTAGACGTACTGTGCTTATGGACATTCTGCCATCTCGCTCTGTGATTATTTGCCCAGTCCTTTTCTTATCTTTCTCTTTACCAACTCATGCTTTTAACTGATAGTAGTTGTTCACTTTAAATGATTGCATTTTTCTATTGGATTGGAAATGTATACAGCTTATATTTACTAATCAACATTAAATTATACTACACATATTTATCAATGTCTAAAATTAAGGTCTTATGCCCCTTCCCCCCTGTAGGAGGATCTTAGAACATTTACACCCCCTTCTAGCGGACATGCCGTTGTCTGGTATTTCAGTTGACATTATTCTTTTATACAGTGTTTGGACCTCATTCACATTGGTCATTTTGTTTGCTCACCACTCTATGTCATATCTAAGACCATCATTCTGCAATCATTTTCCTTCTCTTTGTAGTATAAACTTCAGAGATTGTTTCAGTGAAAGTTCCTTAGTGATAAATGATCTTATATTAAATGTCTGTTTTCACCTTCTTTATGAAAACTAATTTTGCTGGGCATGCAATTCTGGGATGACAGGTGTTTCCTCCCAGCACGTCGAAGAGGCTAAGCCAGCTGCCACCTCTGTGTTGCTTTGGGAAGTCCGCCGATGGTGTGATGGTGGCTACTTTGTGGGTGATCGAGCCTTCCTCTCAGACGATGTGAAGATCTCTCCTGCTGGCCTGTGCTTTCACTGTGTTGTGTGCAGGTGTGGATTTCTCTTTATTTATGCTGCTTCATATACATTATGCTTCCCAGATGTGTGGATTTATGCTTTTCATTAAATAAAGAAAAGCTTGTAGGAACACTATAAATGGGGGGGTCCAAAAAAATTCAGTCCCGTAAAGTGCAGAATCTCATCCGTGTGAAGAATGAAGGGAGCCTGCACGGATGCCAGGCCCCTCCAGGTGTCTCAGCTGTCGATTGGCACAACTTGTTTACAGTTGTCCTTTGTGGCTTATGTGTTGAAGGTGATGGTTCTGGGTCTTGAGGATCGCTGGAACTTCCAGTGTATTGGTAATGAGTTCAGTGTCCTCTCCTTTCATTGATTATTTTGTTGGCCTGATTAAGGGGAGACGGGGCCAGTTAAAACTGGGGATGCAAATACTCATCTTCCCCAGGTGGGGTTGGCTGCTCTCCCCCTGACTGACCTCACCTTCACCTCCATTCTCAACCCTGCACAAGATGAGAGCTTGGGCCTGGCTGGAGAGTAGGGATTGGGTGGGCTGTGGCAGCCAGCTGCTGATAAAGTTGGAATTTGCATAAGCATGGGGCGTGTCATCACAGGGCCTCACTGGGTGTCCTCTCCTTCACCCTCTCTTCTCCTGGGGCTCCCATCAGGCCCATGCTAGACCGTCTTATTCTGCTTTACAAATCCTTTCACATTTCCTTTAGATTTTTCATCTCCTTGTCTGTGTGGTATCCGATTTCCTTGGATGTATCTTCCACTACATTAATGCTCTCTTCAGCAGTGTCTAATCTGCTTTTTAACCTACCCACTGAGTTCTATTTCAACAATTATATTTTTCATTTCTAAAAGTTCTTTAAAAACCCTGCCCGTCCATGCCTGATAGTCCTTTATTGCTTTCTCATTGCTGTGATTGTCTTCTTTATTTCTGTACATACTTCATACATAACTATTCCCTTGCCTGCATTATCTGGCAATTTCATTATCTGCAGTTCTTTGAGGTTTATGTCTACTGTTTGCTGTTTTTGTTGACCCTCATTCAGTGAGACCTTCCTATATGGTTGGTGATCTCAGCTCATTGCTTGACCTTATAAACAGTAATACTACAGGTCTAAGTAGGGGAAGATTTCCTCCAAAGACTGATTGCTTTGGCTTCTCCTGGTATCTGAGAGGGACCACGAACCTGGGACCGTTCAGCCTATCTGAGGGTTTGGGCTCAGCTTGGGAATCCTGGGCTCAGTTTTCCACCTCACCATTGGCCCAAGAGTCAGCAGCCCAATGGCTGTGGTGCCACTGAGTCCACTCTGGAGGCAACTCTGCCCCTACAGGCTGCACAACCCTTGCCCTAAACTCACATCGGAAAAGAAATAGGTGCCCACAAGAGCCCTAGACTTGTACTGCTGTTTTGGAGGTCCCAGCCAGTTATAGGACCCAAGATAACCCACAATCAGTAGTTAAGCTAGAGCAGATGATAACCATGAAATGGCATCAAACCACAGCCTGACCAGCACAGATCTGGATCATGAAGCTGGACCCTAGGACTCATGGCCAGGTGACTGCTCAGATTTATCTTAGTCATTACAGTAAACTTTCAAGAAGATGATCTCACTCAATTCATTATGGCAGAGTTCTAGGACGTGCAACAAAGATACTTCACCAGTCCTACCTGGCAAATAACACATATGCATATCCATGACACTGTCATGATGTGCTGTAAAATGTTAAGTTATAAATAGTGAATTCACTTAAATTTTACTTTCTGCCTTCTCTGACTGCAGATTCCAAGGTTCCATGAGTGAACACATTTCTCATAGCCTTTCACACCCCCTAGTGCACCCTGACCTCTGCTTTGTACACAACATTTAGCCCATCTGTTGATTAAATCTTTTGAAGAACCGGCTTAGGAATCACCACTCCTGGGAGCTCTTCCCAATTTTTCCCTTGCCCTGATCATCTGTGTGTGCCTCTCTCCTGTGCTCTTAGTTCCCTGGAGGTACTTCTGTTATTGGGCTTTTTATTGGGCATGACATAGATGGCTTTCCTTGCCTGTCTCACTCTCTACCCTGTAAAGTCCCTGAGTGCTCGTGTCATGCTGGTTTTGTCTCTCCCAGAACAGTGGCAGAGAGCCTGGACAAGTAAGTGCTTAGGAAACATTTGTTGAAAGTACAAATACCTTTCTTTTTTCCTTTTTTTAAAGAGAGAGCACCCTAGTGGGGTGGGGCAGAGGGAGAGGGAGAGAATCTCAAGCAGACTGCGTGCTAAGCACAGAGCTCAACACGGGGCCCAATCTCATGACCCTGAGATCATGACCTGAGCCCAATCAAAAGTCAGATGCTCAACCAACAGAGCCACCCAGGTGCCCTGAAAGTAAAAGTATCTTGAATCACTGAATTCTACTCCAGAAACCAATACTTCACTGTATGTTAACTAAGTAAAATTTAAATTAAAAAAAAAAAAGAAAGTACAAGACTCTTACACGTCCTTTTCTTGTACTGCCTTTATGAGGCTGAGCAGAGTTCTGCAAGCTGCATACCCTGAAATGGGTGTGAAAACACAGCAGATCTGTGTTCTCTCCTCCTCTGGCTGAGCCTGTGGTCTCCTCTGTAAACCATCTTTCACACACTCCCCTACATATTTCACGGACACTCTTTGGTGGAGTATATTCTGCTTTGGCATACTCTGTGTTGAGGGCTGCAGTAAAACAATTCTGGCTACAGGAGCTCCTGCTTGGATGGAGACACAGATACAAACACAGAGCTTTTATACAAAATAAAAAGTGACTCTTGCCTTTTAAAAAGTGCTATGTTGGGGTGCCTGGGTGGCTCAGTCATTATGCGTCTGCCTTCGGCTCAGGTCATGATCCCAGGGTCCTGGGATCGAGCCCCATATAGGGCTCCCTGCTCGGCAGGGAGTCTGCTTCTCCCTCTCCCACTCCCCCTGCTTGTGTTCCCTCTCTCGCTGTGTCTCTCTCTGTCAAATAAATAAATAAAATCTTAAAAAAAAAGTGCTATGGAACTAAGAAAACAACAGCAACAATAAAAAGCGAAACAAAGAAATAGTGATAAATCTCAAAAACATTAAGCAGAGGGAAAGAAGTCAGACATAAAAAGTATATGTTAAATCATTCTATTTACATAAAGTTCTAGAACAAGCAAAACTATAGTGCCAGAAACGAGATCACTGGTTGCCTCTGAGGCTAAGGGGGCGATGGAGGTAGTCTATTATCTTGATAGCATGGTGGTTCTAAAGGTCAAAACAGGTTATATTTGTCAAATCTCATAGAACCCAGCCCTTAAGGTCATGCACTTCACTATACGTGAATTATCCATCAGCAAAGCGTTAGGAATATGAAATCAGTTTCAGTGGATACACGTCCTCCTCAGATCTCCCTCCTCTGGGGAAGCCCGCATTCCCCACTATAAAGCAGCCTTCCCTCAGACTCCTCCTTCTCTTCCGACTGCTGGGCAGGGGGGCCGTGGAGGCACTGGGGGCTTCCCCATGGCAAGAACTTAAAGCACCAGGCTGCT